AATGTTGCACTGATATGTTTCTATATCACCATTTAAATATCACACATGTAGGTTTTCTTCTACTAAAGGAATGTCAAGTCTCCAAATTACTCATGAAATTATACAAAGAATAAAGCGCATATTTACAAAGCTTTACAAAAAACCCTGCCATCTAGAACTATTGACCTCATATACAGCGACTGACCTGCACTGAAGTTGAAACCTCCCCTTAAATGTCATTCCTATTATTGTTTCAAATGGTCTGCAACCTAATTAAATGCCAATCTACTTTCTCACAGTTTATAACACTTGACATTTACTTACTAAGATTCTAGATGCCACTCCCTGAAACCATCAGATGATAGTTATTGTTGGAAAGAGCCCTAACAATTTACCTTTTAAAAGAATACTTATTAGTATATTTGCTTATAATTTTGATATGGCAATTTATAAGTCATAAATTATAAAAGTACCACAATAATTCCCTTATATACTAATATTTTAATTTCCTTTTAACATACAGAGGACAAGGAAAACATTGATTCCAACCTGCCAGAGCAAGGTCTAGTGATGTTTTCTTCTAAAGGTCACATTTCAGAAATACAGAAACAAATCACCAATACACCACGATTAAATAATCAATTTGTTCAGTTCAATCGTAAAATATCACGATATCTACATCTATAGGTGTGTGTATTTTGAACATAAAATTTTACTTAGTAAATTAATTACAACTTCACGATTGTTGCCAAGACAAATGAATAAGAATTTTTAAGTGAAGAGAGGCTAAAATACACTGATCTCATTTTCACAAGAGAGCATCCAGAAGGCTGATATTCACATGACACATACTAAATTAAACACTTAGTAGAAGAAGGAAATCCTATTGCCTATAACTCACACGTGAGAACTCAAGGCTAAATCCCTGTTATTTCTAAATTAAACTACTAAACCATCTAAATATCTGCTATCATCTGAATGTTTGTCCCCCCCCCGCCCCCCGCATCCCCCCAACCGTACATTGAAACCTAAGCCCAAGGTGAAGGTATCAGGAGGCGGAGCCTCTGGGAGGTGATGAGGTCATGCGGGCAGACCCCTCATGAATGGGACTCCTGCCTTTATAGAGAAAGTCTCTTTGCCCTTTCCAACCTGTGAGGTTACAGGGAAAAGATAGCCATCTATGAACCAGGAAGGCGGCTCTCACCAGACACCGACTCTGCTGGTGCCTTGATCTAGGCCTTCCCAGCCTCCAGAACTGTGATTAAAACATTGCTACTGTTTATAAGCCACCTAGTTCACGGCATTTTGTTACAGCAGCCCAAATCGACTAGGGCAGTACCCATTAGGAACACAGAAGTTAAAGAAACTATGATACATAAATAAAATATATTATGCATGTATAAAAATAGTAGATGTAGATCTTTATGTCACTGTAAAGTGAATAAGTAAATCACAAATCAATATGTACAGCATAATCCCACTTTTCTTAAATAAAAAAGAAAGATGCATTTGTGTCGAGATACAAGAGAGTTTTAAAGCTTGGTCTAGAGTTAAATCTGAGTTTGAATGCTAGCTTCAACACTTGCTAGCCAGCATTCTATTTTTAGCAGTCTATACTGGGCATGCTACTAATCTTTCTCAGCCTCAATTTCCACATTTTGTAGTGGTGGATATTGATACTTCCATTTCATATGATTGTTGTAAAATAAATGAGAAAATACACGTAAATGGCTTAGCACAGTCCAAGCCACAATAATGCTTAATAACGGCAGTTATTTTTATGGCCCCATCCTAACCTTAAAAAATGAATTTCCTGGTATCACTTAAGAGGAAGAAAAAAAGATTTAATGATTTGTCCCACAGAGGTTTAGGTTTGTAAGACACATAACTGGTGATTAATAACAGAAAAGGCTTCAATAAAATAATACCTATGTAATGATAAAATAATTTCCGATTATTATAAACACATATAGGTACTATATATAATTTATATATGTTATAATCTACTATACACTAGAACACTAAAATAATGAGGTTAAAAAGAAATAATATAGTTTTCAAAGGCATGTGGAAGAATATATCCAAATATACATAGTGAGTTTAGATGACCAGAAAGATGGCCCACAGAAAGGATCAACTTGAGTTTCAAGTCAACATTTCCATTTAGAAATATTTCCAAAAAGAATAGACATTCTACTTAAAAATCTGTTTCAAGTCTTTCTCCCACTAAAGACTTAATATTTGGCTATTTTCCTCTGAATGTTTTCAGTGAAATAATTCTTTTTTTTTTTTTAGGAAGATTAGCCCTGAGCCAACTACTGCCAATCCTCCTCTTTTTGCTGAGGAAGACTGGCCCTGAGCTAACATCTATGCCCATCTTCTTCTACTTTATATGTGGGACGCCTACCACAGCACGGCTTTTGCCAAGCGGAGCCATGTCCGCACCCGGGGTCCAAACCAGCAAACCCAGCAGCCGAGAAGCTGAAGGTGCGAACTTAACTGCTGCACCACCAGGCGGGCTCAGTGAAATAATTCTAAAAGAACAGGAATATGGCAACATCAAAGAACAAAACATGTCAAATTTAAAACTACAGAGGAGTGACAGAAATAGCGTCAACAGCCAAAAAATGAGATGAACACTAAAATGTTATTTAAGTCATTAATCAAAAATATATTTTGAAAATAAAGCATATAATGTTCTTTGTAATCTTAATTAATGCTTAGGCTTTCTTTACACACTAAAATGAAAGTTGAAAAGTAAAATTACTTTTTTTTTTTTAAGATTTTATTTTTCCTTTTTCTCTCAAAGCCCCCCGGTGCATAGTTGTGTACTTTTAGTTGTGGGTCCTTCTAGTTGTGGCATGTGGGACGCCACCTCAGCGTGGCCTGACGAACAGTGCCACGTCTGTGGCCAGGACTCGAACTGGCAAAACTCCAGGCCCCTGAAGCAGAGCACGTGAACCTAACCCCTCAGCCACGGGACCAGGCCCCAAGTAAAATTACTTTTGAAAAAAAATTCACTTAAAAATTTTTAAAGTCAATGACCTTCTGTTAACCTTTAGCATTGTAGGTTTGGTGGGCCTGAGTAATTTAGGGTCGCAGACTATTTGACCAACAGAATCAATTAAATCAAATCTCTGCTGATACATTTTAATCTTGTCAAATTCTTTTGCCATTATTGCCTTAACTGAAGTCACAAGTTACCATCATCACTGCCCCTCCCCCTGCACAAAAGCAAAATACTTTCTAGATATACCCTGGCTCTTCCCTATCATGTTCTCAGGTGGGACCATCTCATAAGGGTTTTTTTCCCTGACATTTTCAGTAATTACACTAAACTCAATTGGATATAATACCGAATTTCATCAATCACAATAAACAATGTTTTTTAAAGCAACAAACATTACAATAAAGCTTCTATAAAAAAAATGTTTGAGAGAAAAATTAGTCATTTAATTACCTACAAAGAGATTCCATAGTCTTCATAGGGCTAGTTTTCAATAAAGAAAGTTTAAAAAAGATGCTTCTAAATTATCTGTCAAGGCTACAAGAATAACTGAATGGAAAATAGCACCACATTAATACACAAACAAAATTCAGCCATCCACTGGAACTCAAAGTAAGAAGCCTCACGATATGACTGTTACCACCAAGGATCATTTTTTCAAATATCTTCAATTTTTTACCAATCCTAAAACTTATTCCAGAACCAAGTGGGACTACTAAGATACAGGTAAAACCAGAGTACTTCATTTTACAATGTTTCAAGTGGGAGCAGTGAGAGGCTAAACTGAAAACATGGTTGGCTACCCTATAAAGACGGTAGAGATATCAGATTTTGGCACATTCTCTAAAATTAGTCCATCAATGACAATTAAAAATATACTAAAGCCTTATTCTTCGGATTTCAGTTAGCATACATAAAATACTAGTTAAATACATGTGCTGAACTTTAAAACATTAATGTACAGAATTAAGATGATGATTGAGTTATTTAGCTATTATTTTATTTTTTGCTGGGAAAGATTCTCCATGGGCTAACATCTGTTGCCAATCATCTTCTCATTTTTTTCCCTCCCCAAAGCCCCAGTACACAGCTGTGTATGTTCTAGTCCTGAGTCCTTCTATGTGAGCCGCCACCACCACAGCATGGCTACTGACAGACCAGCAGTGTGGTTCCGTGCCCAGGAACCAAACCCAGGCCACTGAAGTAAAATGTGTCAAACTTTAACCACGAGGCCATCAGGGCTGGCTCCGTAGCTATTATTTTAAATACATGCAAACAGCTGTTTAAATAGAATAATTTTAGGGTTGAATATTCACGCTCCAGGGTTAGAACTTTTAGAAAGTAAATCAACATTTTTCTATTACAATTTTAAGGACTTCACTTCCTCCAATCATTCTTCTAATGGTTCAAGTCAATTTCACACTAGCTAACAGTGTGCGAATGACATTTGGAACAAGCAGTCACGTGAGAGGGGAAATTTGATCAATCTGAAATAATTATATTTAAAAATATATACAATTAGCCCATAAAGTGGCACATGTATTTTATTAAAAGCCTTATAAAACCTGCCTGCATTCTGAAAGTATGACAATGGTAGGAGGGCTATTTTTTTTTTTTGAGAAAGATTAGCCCTGAGCTAACATCTGCCGCCAATCCTCCTCCTTTTGCTGAGGAAGACTGGCCATGAGTTAACACCTGTGCCCATCTCCCCCTCTTTTATGTGGGATGCCTGCCACAGCACGGCTTGACAAGCAGTGCCATGTCTGTACCTGGGATCTGAACCGGCGAACCCAGGCCACCGAAGTGGAACGTGCACACTTAACTGCTGCGCCACTGGGCTGGCCCCAGCAGGGCTATTTTTAATGTAACGTTTTTCCTGATTTAAAGTCATCAGAAAATTTCAAAACTTCACTGAAGTAAAAATGCCAGTAAAGTAACATTCAGTCAATTCAATATTTAGAGTTGGTCAAGTATTGCATAACTGGTAACATTTGCAGAAGGGATCACCACTTACCAGCTGCTCGGATTTTACACCGTATAACTGGATGGTCTTTGCCACATTCTTTGACACAGCTAATGTGAGGTTGGCATCAACAGCAGCTACATTTAGTTCACTGGAGAAAACAAAAACGCACTTTAATTATTAGCAACACAGTCATCAACAAAGTAAAGAGCAACATATCAACCTAAACCCAATAAGCAATGAGGTGATTCGTTTCATAGATTTCACGGACTGCTTCCAAGAACCAGTTGCATTGTTTCATTTTCCCTCCTAAATTCAGCATTAGAAAAAAGTGCTTTGAGATGACTTGGTTAATGACCAGTTTCTCATGAATAAAAGCACATCATGTGTGGGTTCAGGCTGTGATTAAGAGAGTGAATTGTGTACAGATTTTTAAAGTAGCACTCTTGTTAATACTGATAAGTGCAATTAGAGAGACTGCATTTCACAGACATCTGCAAGGAAATGACAGCTCTTGAATGGAAATGATGACCTTGCAAGGACATAGGCTAAAAATACAAATTGTACACGGTACAGAAAGATAGTTTCTGTAGAAATTATTCATACATGTTATTTTGTACAGAGTAGCTTTTTAAATATGTCAAAAGCACAATCAGGATTTTTGAAATTTTAAAAATTTGGATTCTTAAAGCAATTCTTTGTCATGCTTATTTTTAACTTTAACATTGGATTGAGACATTTGAACTGACTGCCCAAAAAAAAACGTGTTTATAAAGACCATGGAAAGAATACTAGGAGTTAAAAATTGCATGAAAACCCACTTAAAGGTAGAAAGCAAGAAAAGTAATTATTGTCTCTGAAGTAGCAGAATAAATCTTACCAGATTCTTTATAAAAAAGTGAAGAACTTTGAAACAACACTAGTACATACTATGTGTGACAAAATGCCTTTTCATATAATAGTGAGAGAATTTTATTAATGTTCACTTTTAAATTCTATTAAACACTGGTATAAGTATGCTTCTTCAAGCTCCACATTATATTTGATTTGTCAAGCTGCACAGAGGAACGGGAGAGATGCCTCTTTAACATTTCCACAAATAGCTCAAAGAGAGCCAGTCAAATCCAGGACTACCACACTAAACAGATAACGGAAACATTAGGGCAAAAAAACCTAGAGTCAGGACTTTGGAAAGTCAAGATAATTGTGGAGAGATTTAAGATCAAGACACTGGGCAATTTAGACACTGTATAGGAATGTTTGCAGCTGGAGAGACACTTATGTATATGACACCTGTGGCTTTTTAGTCTTACTCTCACATGGCTCAGAATCACTATCTTCAAATTTTAGTCTAGAAGAATCTAGACAGTTCTATACCTTGGTTCTATATTGCCTAACTACTATTTTTACTCCCCACAATGTTCATCTACAAATGTGCAGACCTACTGTTATGACAACTTGTGAGCTATGACAGGAACAGAGATAGTCTCAACTTCAAATTAATCTGGGTAACTGCAAACGTCTAAAGGCAGCAGTGTAATTACGTTGTCGGCAAGCATTCAGGTAGCACCTCTGCCAGATATCTGCCCTTTTGAGAGTTTTAAAAGCTGTCACATCCACTTAGTTAGAAAGCTTGAAATAGCAAACACAAGTAGGTAAGTCAGGATTATAATCCTGGTAAGCCATGAAGTACTTTCTGGATTTAAGATAAAAAACATTAACCTCTATGCTATAGCTTCTCAATTTGTAAAATTCTTTTTGTACTTACTTTTCTGTGTAAAACTAGAAATTTACTGTGGTATAAAGAATGAGGTTTACTTTGCATCCTTGACAAGATACAGAATAATTACAACAGACTAGTTTTAGACTCTATTTAAATGGTTTTATTAATTGGAATCTCAAGCACTTACTATATGCGCACTCATTCACTGCAAAACTCTTGATTTAACTGCAAGGCTAATTACTTGAATAATTTGAGATAAATTAAACATGTACTGCAATCACACACCACTAACAAATGTGGCTGGCATTTTATGGCACACCATTAATAAATAAAAAATACGGACCTTGTGATGGTTTTAATGATACCTTCAAGTTCATCCGCAGAAGGAGGATTACGACCACCAGGGGGAAAAACCAAGTTGATAGGGTCGAAGAGTCGAGATAAGGATTTTGACAGATAGGCAGCCTCATAGGGTTGCAGTGAGTCTTTCAGAGCCTTTTCTGGACTGTGGGAACAAAATTTATGAAAAATGAACTTAAATTATACAAAATAAATGCTATTGTATTAGGCTGTAAATACTTAAAAACAGATCTCGTGTATAAAAGGTAACTCTATGAAGAAAGACAAAGAAACAGATTTGTTTAGAAATGTATAAATATTTCATAACTAAACATTTATTAAGGACAAAACACTTAAATTTATACATAAGTCCTAGATATAAATGTAATACAATATGCACCAGTACCTACTGTAGTAGGCCTGTCACTTGAAATTAAAAGAATAACACTGTTAAACATTATTAATTCTAACGGAGCCATGCTTTACTTAGTAAACCCTGTCTTTAGAGAGTACCCAAGCACACACGACACAGGCAGGTCTGCGGAGACCTGCTCCCGTAGCTCAACCTTCCACCTGCAGCTGCCATCGCCCACAGCTCACTATCTGAGAGTGAAGTGTACAGGACGAGGGTTTTGTTAGCCATCTCATGCCAAAACTGTTACTAACAAGAATGAGCACAAAATAAGAAGTATTTGTGAAAGTCCTACAATCACAGAAATACTCCTAAGTGGAGTTCTAAGCTAATCTGTTTTACAATATTTTTCATAAACTAAAACTTAGCCTACTAAACACTTCTTTCCCGCGTAGTCTTCCCGTATCTTCAAGTATTTGTGTTTTAATTTAGCAGTCCAACTACTGGGTCTGACATTTGTCCTTTGACAATTACTACAAATGTCTATAACCATTATTTTCGTGTGCTTTCTTACTGCTATAATTAACTCCATATCTTGTTTTTTCAATGCAGCTGAAATTTTTTTTTAAAGATTGGCACCTGAGATAACAACTGTTGCCCATCTTTTTTCTCCGCTCCTCCTTCCTCTCCCCCAAACCCCCCAGTACATAGTTGTATATTCCAGTTGTAGGTCCCTCTGGTTGTGCTGTATGGGATGCTGCCTCAGCATGGCCTGACAAGTGGTGCCACGTCCGGGCCCAGGATCCGAACCAGTGAAACCCCAGGCCGCCGAAGCAGAGCACGCGAACTTAACCACAGGGTCACAGGGCCGGCCCCATAATTAATTCCATATCTTCTCACATCACCTGTGTTTAAGATCCTTCTACCAGACCTTCCATTGTGTTTTTTCAAAAAATCTCCCTTTGTCCTAAATGTTAACCTTGAAAACATCTGACCTGCTCCTTTCTGAATACGAAATCTGGCTCTCTCTTTGTCCCATCCTTTCTGGTCAAGCGATAAGACCTAGAGGGCAGAATGCGCTTGGCTCCTACATCATAATTCCACAGTTATCTCTTACCACTTTCTCATTCAGTAAGTATTACACTCACACATATTTCCTGAGAATACTATGTGCCAGGCCCTTGTTAAGTGCTGGGAAGATACAGATTAAAAGTGCTGCACAGTCTAGAGAAGCAAGGTGCAGAAAAAGTGCTAACCATAATAACCTCTGTAATAGAGGAAGATAGAAAGACCACAATGAACAGGGAAGAACTGGCGTCTCAGTCTGTCTGAGGCAGTCCGCTACTGAAGTCCACACCATCCATTTAAACGTCTTCTCCATTTTTGCTCCTGTCATTTACTGACCTTAAGAAGCCTCTTCCCTCTTCCACAGAAATTTCTGCACTGAATTATAAGTACTAACATTCTTCCTGTTCTCCACATCTGCTGTAGGGATCCTTGGTGACTACAATGTCAAAACAGGTGACTTTTCTAACACCTGTCCTGTAGACAAGTCTCCCTTTATTCTAGCTTCACTATGAGCTATGTCAGCCACCATCATTTTGAACTGCTCCACGTCTAAGATCTGCAAGCTTGAAGACAACTTTCCACGCCCCTGCTGTCTTCCATCTCCTTTCCTCCCACAAATACTATTGAGTCTCTACAGTTTGCCAGGTGCCTCCTAGGTGTGGGGAACGCAGCAGCGAAGTCTGCTAAAAAAAAAATCCCCTGTCCTCTTAAAGTATATACACTAACAAGAGAGATACACACAAAAAGAAACATTTTAACATGAGTTAAATACGAAATACAATGGAGACTGACAGATAAGTTTTAAGAAAAAATTGAAGGAAACCAGAAAGAATATGCTTAGGTCTTTCTCTCTTTCTTTCATCCAATTTTAGACAGGATGAGGCAAGGGAAGCCTTAACGAAGAGACCTGAGGGGAAAGAGGGAGCATGTCACACAGATTTCCAGGGTAAGAGCTTTCTACGGGAGAGAACAGCCAGTGCAAAGGCCCCAAGAAGGCCCAGACCTGGCTGTGTCTGCCAAAAAGACAGAGAAGCAGAGCACTTCAGTGACAGGAGTGCAGCACAAGATGAAATCAAAGGGAAAACAGATGGAACCAATCATGCCAGGCTTTGTATATCAATAAAGGTGCTGGATTTTACGCAGCAGCAGTTGCTCTTTGACCTCACTCAAGTCAACACCTTTCCTACTCCCACCCTCTGGCAGCCCACCAAGTCTTCCGCCCTTCTTCATCCTCAGCCAACCACTGCAAGGTGGTCCTCACTAGCATCCTGATCTTTCTCACTCACCTTCCTTTCAAAGCTCTTACTAAGAAAATCTTATCTAGATGGTCTCTGTATTTGCTGCCAAGCTTCCCAAGTATTGCAAAGAGAAAGTAAACCGTATCTATTAAACATCTCCACAAACCCCTTCATTCAAGAGAGCCGAAGCCCAGCTATTAACCTGGAATTCCACTTTGGCAACCCTTCACTCTCTATGGGTGACCACTTGCCTCTGTGTTACACTAAGACCAAAACCACCGGCAATGACCTTCACCAACTTGCCATTTCTCTAGCTTTTTTTCTCTTTGTAACTTCGTCTGTTGTCTGTGATTTTCCTGTTATCTCAAAGAAAGAAGTAGCTTTATTTCTCTTTCCATATTAAACTTTTCAGAAGAATTCAATCTACTTCCTCGTTTTCCATTCTCCCTGTAAAAACTGCTTTATGGGGGGCAGCCCAGTGGCATAGTACGTAAGTTTGCATGCTCCGCTTTGGCCACCCAGAGATCACAGGTTTGGATCCCCGGTGTGGATCTAGCACCGCCTGTCAAGCCATGCTGTGGAGGCATCCCACACACGTACAAAATAGAGGAAGACTGGCACAGATATTAGCCCAGCGACAGTCTTCCTCAAGCAAAAAGAGGAAGATTGGCAACAGATGTCAGCTCAGGGTCAATCTTCCTCACACACACACAAATTGCTTTATTTACATAAAGCGATAATTCACATATATAATTCACATGCAATTCAACCATTTAAAGTATGTAATTCAAAGGCTTTTGGTATATTCACAGATATGTGCAACCATCAATATGCTCAATTTTAGGATGTTTTTATCACCTCACAAACACACCTCATACCCTTCAGATATAATCCCTTTACCCCTCACCCCAGGCTTGCACTAAGCAACCAGTAATCTACTTTCTAGCTCTATAGATTTTGATACTGTAGCCTTTCATATGAACAGAATTATACAGTGCATGGTTTTGTCACTGGCTTCTCTCACTTAGCATAATGTTTTCAAGGTTCAGTCACGTTGTAGCACGTATCACTACCTCACTTGTTTTGATGCCTGAATAGTATTCCATTGTATGGATATACCACATTCTGTTTAGCCATTTGTCTGTTGACGGACACCTGGGTTGTTTCTATCTTTTGGTTATTATGAATAATGTTGCTATAAACATTTGTGTACAAATTCATGTGTGAAGATATTTTTAAAAATTTGCTTAACATGTTTTTTTCATTGTGATAAAGTATACAGAACAAAGTTTACCATTTTAGCCATTTTTAAGTGTACAGTTCAGTGGCATTGGATACATTTATACTTGGTTATGCAACCATCACTACCATCCATCTCCAGAACTTTTTCATCATCCAATAATGAAACTATACCCATTAAACAATAACTCCTCATTCCCCCTCCCCGCTAAACATGTTTTGATTTCTCTTAGATATATACCTAGGAGTAGGACATATGCTAACTCTGTGTTTAATTGTTTGAGAGACTACCAAACTGTTTTTCAAAGCCCTGTGCTATTTTAGATTTCCAACAACAATGCATGAGGGTTCTAATTTCTCCACATCCTTGTCAACACTTGTTATTATCTATATTTTTTATTATAGGCATCTTAGTGGGTGTGAAGTGGTAACTCATTGTGGTTTTGATTGATTTGCATTTCCCTAATGTTAAAAATATTTTTGTGTGCTCATGGGCCATCTGCCTATGTTCTTTGGAGATATGTCTATTCAGATCCTTTGCACATTTTTTAATTTGGTAATTTGTCTTTTATTGTTGAATTGGAAGATTTTTTCAAAATATATTTTACATACAAGTCCACTGCCCGATATATAAATTGCAAATATTTTCTCCCATTCTTGATTGTGTCCTTTCAAGCACAAAAATTTTTAGTTTTGAGATAGTCCAATATAATATCTTTTTTTGTTGTTGTTGCTCATGCTTTTGGTGTCATAGCTAAGAATTCTTTGCCAAATCCTAAGTCATGACAATTTGCCCCTATATTTTCTTCTAACAGTTTTAGTTTTTAGAACTTAAACTTAGTTTTTTGATTCATTTTCAGTTAAGTTTTAAATATGCTGTAAGGGTCCAAGTGCATCCTTTTGCATGTGGTTATCCAGTTGTCTTAGCACCATTTGTCAAAATAACTATTCTGTCCCCATCGAACAATTTGGACAAGCTTTTTGAGTGTCAGCTGACAATGGATCTATGGATTTTTCCCTGAAATCTCAATTCTGTTCCACTGATCAATGTCTATCCTGGTACCCGTACCATAACATCTTGATTACCATTGCTTCGTACTAAGTTTTGAAATCGTAAAATGTGACTCCTACTTCATCCTCTTTCAGGATTGATTTGGTTATTCTGGGTACCTTGTAATTCCATATGAATTTTAGAATCAGCTTGTTAATTTCTACAAAGAAGTCAGCTGAGGTTCTGACGATGACTGAGTTGAGTTTGTAGATCAGTTC